GAAAAGAAAAGGGAGGGAGGGAAGAGAGGGAGGAAGGAAGGAAGGAAGGAAGGAAAGAAGAAAGGAGAAACTGCAGTTGAGGCTTCAGATCCCATTGGCTCCAATCATTTCCTCAAGGGCAGTGTTGTTTTTCTTCAGGTATTTATGAATATATATTTAATTTTAACTTGATTTAGCTACAATTTAATTGCTAGAAATGCAAAATTAAGATGACTGTTCAGAAAAAGACAAAAATTATATCCAAATAATTATAAGAAAAAAGTTTCTGGCAAATTATTAAGATTAGCAAATGAGCAATTCTGTAAATGAATGTTTGAGGAATTCATTTCTAGAAAATTGACATTCAGTGAACTGGTCATGTGGGAGCTAGTTGTAGCTGGCTTCCCCTAGTAGCTAAGGGGGCCAGCAGGAGGACCCCAGGACCATTTACCAGCCCCTCCATGGTTGTATGACCCTCAGGGCCAGGCCTAGTGTCTCCCTGCTAGTCCAGCCTGATGCTTGAATTGATCAAAATATAGTCTAGCTCCTGCATGCTAGTTCCTGCTGCCATGTTCCTTTTGTGGCCTCAGAAAACCCCATTGTTCCTGAAAAGTGCTAGACTACAATAATGAAGATGAAGCATGCATTTCCTCGCACAGCCTGCAGTAACCAGACTGCCTGCCTTTGCCTCGGTGCAAACTCTAGCATCATTAGGGAAACTGAGTTCTCCAGAGGTCTCTGCAACCAACCATGGGGGTAGGAGGCTTACAAATATGTTCCAAAGACCCACTCTCCAATCACAACTCCACCACCAGCCTTGGAGAAAAGTTCCCCAATATCTCAGAGCCTCGGCTCTCCATCTTTAAGGATGATAATTGTAAGAATAGCATCTAACTGAAAGAAAGAGATCTCATTTATAAGGCTCAGCACTCAGCTCAGCTTTTGGTATGAGTCAGCTATCTGGCTTCACTATTGCTATCTCCAGCCTGGTTCTGGTGAATCGCTCCCAATCCAGCCCCACTGCTCCCTTCTCACGAGGCTGACAGGGCTGCACACATCATGACATTGAGTCCTTCTATAAGACTTGAGCCCAGTGCCTACACACCTCCATACTTACCCTCCCTTTCTCACCTCACCAAAGCCTGCCCAGCCTTCCAGTCAGGATGAGGCCTCCTCCAGGAAGGCTTCAAGGTCTGCCCAGTGTCCAGAGTTACTCCCTCCCTCACCTGGCAGGCTCACCTCTCAGGCTTCTTAAAGGTTGCCTTGTTCTCCGCAGAGCCTCTGTGTGGGAAGGTAGCTTAGCCTGATTGATTCTGCCCCTGACCCCTGTGTGGTGCAGGTGGCTGATGTCTAGAGCTGGACAAGCAACACCCAGGAGACCCTCAGCAGCAGGCTGGGTCCACGTCACACTCTGCTGTCCACCCTTGAGGGTACAGTAAGTAAACATTCCCTCATCCCCTCTGCAGACACTCCACTCTGCAGTCATGGCCAACAGAACCACAGAGACAACAATCACTGGATTTTTAATCCCCATCTTTTAAGATTTCAGACTTGCCATGTTGTTTTGCTGCCTGAGACCCTCCTGTTGAGCCTTACTCCTCTCTTCCCTCCACCTGCCCCAATATCACACAGCCAGTCCCTCAGGCCTCAGAGACCACACCAGCTGACCCAGTTCCCAAACAAAGGCTCCCCTGTGAGCAGGCCAGCAGAGCAATCCCAGGCCTGATCCTTGGGCTCAGACTTCAGTAAACAGCCTCAGGTGTATGAGCCCACCTCTGTTGTCACCTAACACAACTATGTCCCCACATGCCCATGAAGGACGACCACTGACAATTAAGGCTGATCACCATCCATGCTTGCATTCCCCTGCACCCACACTCCACTGGCTCATCAATCTCAAGCTGGGTTGGGGTGCTCCCCTGCACCCTCACCAGCAATAAGTACAAGGTTCATGAGCCCATTGGCAAGAGAAGACATTGTCACCTGCCTGGAGAGAGCTAGCTTTGCCCGACAACCCTCCCTGCTATGCACATGAACTCACAGAATAGAAATTCTGCCACAGAGAGATCTAGTCCATGCAATCCCATATTACTCCTCTGACCTCTACACCAGGAATCTCACCTTGAGACCTAAGTCTTCTTCATAGCACTTCTGGATAATGAGCTTCCTGCTAGCTGCAGATTTGCCTTTCTGCCTCCAGAAGTGTGTGCACTCTTCTCCGGCCCTCACCAGCCAGATTGGGCTGGAAGGGAGCCCCGCCCCACCCTGTAAGCCTCTGGGCTGGATCAGGAGACTGGGAGCCTTCTCCTCCTCCCTGGGGCACACAAGGCAGGTACAAACCATAGACACCTGATCCTGGCCCGCCTTCCCTCTCCAGCAGTCTGGGCAGCTCTCAGCTGTACCCATGGCTGAGTTTGCTGAAGCTGCAGCCAGATTTCTCCCCAGCATCTACCACTGGACCAGTCCCAGAAGAGGCAACCCTTGGTAAATAGTAAACCTGGGGCCCAGATCCAGGGCCACAACCTATCTATACCTTCAAGCCACAGAGAAACTCTCCTGAGCCACCTTACCTGTTCCTTCCCATTGTCTCATGATCCTTGACCACCACATGAAGCTCAGAGCTCTGGTCCAGGGGAATACCCTTGAGATCCCACTCAAAGCCCTGGAATAAAAGAGAAAATGTATCTGAACCAGTGGTATCAGGAGAAAAGACTATCTAGTTTTCCTTCATGCCCCAGCACTAAACAAGCATCTGTGAATAAGTCTAGTAAGTGGGTAAATAATGGTTGTATGGATGAATACTCAGGTTACAGAGGTTCAGAGGTGACTGTGAAAGCTGATGGCAATGGAAAAGAGGACGTTACTCTCTCCTGACCTCTTCTCCCAACCCAATTTCAATTCATCCCCAGGAAACTCATTAAGGAGTAGAATTAAGCTAGAAAAATGCCAGGTGAGCCAGGTATTAGTAGCTCATGCCTGTAATCCTAGCTACTCAGGAGGCTGAGATCTGAGGATTGCAGTTCATAGCTAGGCTGGGCAAGAAATTCAGTGAGACTCTGATCTCCAATTAACCACCAAAAAGCCAGAAATTGAGGTATGGCTTTAATGGTAGAGTGCTAGCCTTGAGTGAAAAAACAAATTAGAGTATGAGTCCCTGAGTTTAAGCCCCAGTACTAACACACACATACACACACACACACACACACACACACACACACACACACACACACACACACACACACACACACAGCCAAGTGACTGGGTAAGATTCTAAAGGACCAAACCATTGTGCTTGTCCAAAAAACAGATCCCTGGTAAGCCCAGCCAGAGGTTCTGAAACCCTCCTAAGGACAAAGGCTTTGCACCTTGCCTTGTCACCAAATATCACATATATGTAGACAGCCGTACAAGAGGCCATCAACAAGTGGCAGCCACTGGATGGCCTGGTTAATGAAGGAGAGCTGTGAAGAAGTGATAGTTTCAGGCAAAGGCAATGCCTGTGGGAAGAAGAAAAGGCAAGCAAGGGAGCAATTAAATATGTTCTACTTGGCTGGCCAGGGCTGGGGGAAGCGGGGATAAGAGACAAGTTTTAAGGTCCATGCTAGAGCTACCACTGGAGGACATCTCCATTTACCAACCCTCCACCCAAAGTCCTAGGAGTCAGGTTGACACTCTGGATCACCAGCTCCTCCCCTCCTCAAGGACAGCACTAAGAAAGCCACTCCCCTAACTTGTCCTGCAGAGACAAAGAGAAAGTGAAAAAAATTCACATACTTCATTCCACACGGGGTTCACACTGTTCTTGATGACTTTGGTTCTCTTCTTTACCCCTGCAGAAAATACAAAATGGAAAATGGCGTGACATATCCCATCCTGAACCATTATCCACCCAGTTAGGTTCGGCTCTTGAGACCTATGCTTTGATTGAATGGCCAAAGCAAATCTTACAAAAACACCATCCCCTGTGAATCCCACCAAGGAATATCTAATCACACAACTTCTCTCTCAATTCTGGAACCACCAAACAGAAGCCTGGTCAGAAGGATGCTTTTTTCAAAAATTGTCCAAGCTGACCAGGTATGGTGCCTCACACCTGTAATCCCAGCTTCTCAATAGGTGGAGATCAGGAGTAGTTCAGCTCAAGGCCATCCTGGCCAAAAAAGGTTAGCAAGGCCCCATTTAAATCAATAAACCAGGTATGTCTAAAGCTGACTCAGAGTAAAAACAAGAGACCATACCTGAAAAGTTACTAGAGCACAAAAAATGGTTGAGGTTATAACTCAAGTGGTAGAGTACCTACTTAGTACACATAAGGCCCTGAGTTCATATCCCAATACTGCTAAAAAGGAAAAGGAAGAAGAAAATGCCCAACTGAGCTTGTTATTGTCATTCCTGACTTCTCCCCCACCGTGCTGGAGATGAAAACCAGAGCCTCAAACAGGGCAGGTAAGCATTCTAACCACTGAGCTACATCTACCATCCCTGACTTTTCAAATTGTTAGTTCCAATTGTAAGTTTTAGATTCTAAAAATGAAAAATCTTCCTAGAAAATACTCTATGTCTCTCTTATTGTTCATTTCTTTTTTTTAAAAAAAAGCCATATCCACATTGCAGGTATACAAAATGTCCAGAATAATATGTTGAAGCAAAACCCCTTTGTTCAACTACTTGATTTAAAGAATTAAAAATGTCCAGAATTATCAAATCCATAGAGGCAGGAAGCAGATTTTGTGTCCAGGAGTAGATAAGGAGCAGACAGAGTGCGGAATAATTGATCAATGAACATCACATTTCTTTTGGGGCTAATAAAAATGATCTGGAATTGATAACTGCATACAACATTGCAACCTAAAAGTCATCTAAATTGTGAATTTCACCTCCATTAAAACAAAATCACCCTCCAAATCCAAGGCCTTGTAGGAGTCCACATAAAGCAAGCTGTGCCAAGGTAGTTCTACTGGCTCATGAGGACTGAGAGAGTGGAGCATGGCTTTTGGGTACACAAGAACTAACAGTGTGAAAATCTGATTCAGATGACAGAGCCCCATATAACAGAGGGGCATTTCTTCTGGATGCCTGTCCCAGTACAGTGGAGCACATGGACCTTGGAGGAAGATGGTACCATATGGGTATAGGAAGACCCCCTAGTGCCCCGCTCTCTGACTCATCATTATAAAAGAGATTGGACCTAGAGGAAAGGGGCCTGGTGCGTGGCTCAGCCAAACAGTGCATTCCTCTCTCTGAGTAATCCAAAAAAGAGTTGGTATAGCTTCTGGCCTCCCAACTTGAGGAGCAACATGCAAGACTGATTAGATCACAGTAAAGAAGGTCCCATTCACTCTACTAAGAGGCAAACCCCTCTTTCTGCAAAGACATACTTATCCACAGAGAGGCCCAGGAGATATGTAATAAAGCTTGGCCTGCTGTTCTTTTCATCCCCAGGGGCACAGAAGGGACTACACATGTCCAACTTTCCCAGGAAGCATCAGGAACAGAAATGCCTGGGCCTTCAACAGATGGTAGAAAGTATTCAGCCAGATGCAGAAATTCTCTTTGGAGTGGGACTTAAAGACCTCCCCATATAAGCCCATCTGCGTAAGACTGCCCAATGAGATGTCCTTGGTCTCCTCCATTGGACTGCTCAGCTTTCATTGCATTCAACTTGGACCATGAAAGCCCATGAACATCTGAAAAGATCCCAAGAGCCCCAAGTCCCCTAGAGTTGAGAATTCTCCATGCTTATCCATCGTGAGGGGCCAACCTCCACAGTCATCCCTGCCTGCCAGGTTCGGAGCAGGGAAGGCAAAGCAGAGAAAGGTGGAGGATGTGGGCCAGGGGTATGAAAGGATTTCGAGGAGAAAAACAACAGAGAGAGAGACAAGCAGAGAGGGGGGGGAAAGGAAGAGAAGATTGAGAGAAAAGAGAGAAGAGAGAAACAGTGGTGCGCTTGGTAGATTCTAAAACAAGTATTTCAAAAATATCTGCTCAGTCTGCTTGAGTCCTCCCAGAGATTCTGACAAACTCTTCCAGTGGGAAAAGACAAATCCCAACCGTCTCTCCCTTCTGGTTGCAAATCACTGATGTTGAAAAGATTGATGAGTAGACTCTGGAATGACACAAACCACCGTAAAATATCTCAATTCTCAAACATTTTTGGTCCCATGAACAAAAAACCTATTGTAGACCTCAATGAACTTTTATTTAGGGGGCTTTTTGGGGGGGGCAGTTGTGGGGCCTGAACTCTGGGCCTGGGCACTGTCCCTCAGCTCTTCAGCTCAAGGCTAGCACTCTACCACTTGAGCCACAGCGCCACTTCCA